AGTTTTTTTGCAGGGTTACAAAAATGTAGGACAACCCATAGCCTATTTTTAAAATTACAGAATTTTATTTAATTTCTTTGAGTGTTAATGTCAAAGTTTCCAATCAGAAGTCTGGTTGTCAAAAACAAATATTGCCTTCAATTTGTGGTCACTGAATGCATATGGCTTAGCTATTTTTAGAACTTGAGACTAAGGCTTAAATTGGCTATCAGTAAATAGGCATAGTCATCACTCAATTTATTTGATAGAGTCTGTTTAATGTTTTATTATTAAGAATAACTACTTAAAAATTACCAAACCTCCAGTTTTCATAAGAGTTGAGTATCTCACCATACATCAGCTAATAATAATTTTTTCTTCGACCACTTTTAGGAGGCAATTTAAAAGTAATTGTAAAATTCCAGTAAATTAAATATTACTAGCAGAAATGATGGACTACAATTAAGTAAGGAAACCTTAGTGGAACTGACATAAGATTTTGACTGATAAAAGGAAAAAACTGACCAACAAATTTCCCAGGAAAAACAATGTTCTTAGCATAGAGTTACATGTGTGTTTAAGATTAGATGTCTTAAATAAAATCTATCAAGTTTTTTTTCCAGGACAAAATTGAGGGTCTAACATAGCTACAAATGACATTGGTTTGGCATCAGATTAATTCCACTTCAAATATGTAGGAATATGAACTGTAAGCATAAGATGCATTTTAAAACAATTTTATTGAAATTTATAGAAATTAGGCTTAGATTTTGGAACCAATATTGAGAGGCAAGTGACTTGCATTTATTAAATTCAGCTTTTATTTTTAGCATATTGTAGTCACATTGTTATTCCTAACTTTTTCTTCAAAAGCGAGTCATCAAAATACCAAGTAAATTGGTCCAATTTCCTCTAAATAATTTGTGTTCTGTGATGATCAGTCTTATGCCTAGATCCCTTTGCCACGAGGCTTTCCTCAATATTCACCACTTCCACACATTTTTTTCCATAATCACTTTAAAAAACAGATGTTATCCCAGGAAATGCTTTTTGACTATTTCATGAAAGCTAAACTTTCCAGAATCTCAAGACCTTTATTTCTTTTCTGTATCTAATAATATTAACTCATGGTCATAATAGACACAAAGCATTCAGTGGAGGGTCTTTACCTAATATTAGCCTTGCCTTGCCCTGTTGTCCTATGCTGCAATTATACAGTGAAATATTTTAAATTGAGTTGAGAAGTATCCAATAAAACCCATATTGTTATTTTTAGTTAATAAAATTCCATACACTTTTACCATGGCTTAAAGATGCCATAACACATTTCCCAGTGGATTTATATCTCACATAGATTTAGATAATCACATAGTCAAATGACTTTAACAAATTTTGTTTCCTAAAAAAAAAAATACAATCCAGTCCCCCAATAAAGGATTCTCTCCTTGCTAATTTTCTTTAGTCCTGTCTTGCACACTACCTGGATTTAAAAAAGATTTGATAAAGGTTCAACTTCTATACTGAAAGTCAGAAGCTTATATGAAATGTTACAATTGCATTATCCAACTCAAACTGCTAGCATAATAATGTTACTAGACAGCATAGAACCTTGATATAATATCTGCTTGTCAACCTCTTCAATGTCCTAAATTTGTTAAGATTCCCAAATGTGAAATTAGAGTGTCTCTTCTTAAAATAAAACTAACTTGATCATTGGGGGGGGGGGAAGGTATTGCCATGGCTTTGTAAAAGGATGAATTCTCTATCACTTCATGTATATACACACACACATTAACCTTAGAAGTGGTTACTGTTCAGGTATTTATTTTTAGTTGGACTCTTTTGCTTATAAGCCATTTTAGCCCTACTCTTTGGAAATTGCTTTTAGAGTTGACTTGTCAGTCATGAAAAGAACATAACCCCATTCTCTGTGGTTTTAGTAAACTTGACCAAACTCTAAGATACTCCATTAGATCATACATATTAATCATCAAGTTTGACCTGAAATGCATTTTGGCCGTTTGTAGAGTCAACTTGACCATCTAAGACAGATTACTTTCTGTCATTGAAAACAGGAAAAAGATGATCTGACTGAAGGTAGTTCTTGGTCCTTTCACACCTGAGCAAGCCGAGGAATTCTTCAAACTTTGTGATGTTTTGTAACCTGCATGGACTTCTAAAAAAAGTAGCACATAGGAGGTTTTTCCAGTGCAGAAATGGCCTTCCATCACCATTCATAATTCTGGTAAGCTGTAAACCCATTCCTGAAAGTAACAACCCTGTAGGCCACCTGAGGATGAGATATAAATTATATCCATCTTTCATTGGAAGCCCTGATACCACTCTAAGAACTAATTAGTAGACAAGGAAGACTTGCCTTATAAATGATCCATTTCACTTCCTGGTAGTAGCCTCTGTCATTATTAAAGTGTGCCATAGAGCAGAAGAGATGCTCTAGAAATAAATCTACCTTTTTAGTGAAAACCTACAGAAATCAATATGTAAAACATTCACTGTCAGGACACAGCTCAAATAATTCTTGCTGTAACAATGATGAGAGCATCACTGATATCCTTTGACTGTGGACGAAGTGGTCTTAATAAAGTATCCATTAACTAAAACACATGCAAACTGAGGGTAGAATTAGTGATGGAGAGACTTCTTCTTCTGCTGAAGAGAGAAAGCACAGCAAAAGGAATAAGGACGAGGCATTTAAAGCTCCCTTCCACACTCCCACTGACAACTTTCTATTGCTTTTATCGGGGTTTGTTTCGTTCAAAATTTATGGTGTTCTAGATTGAGAAAAGAGATGCAGTTCATCCTTTATGACTTGGTGAAAAGTCCAGTGTGAATTAGCAACTCCTCTGATAATTGTTGAAGTCTACATTCTGATTGATTAGATGAGTGACCTACAGTGTGGTGTACTCAGGATGGAGAGGAATATAAAACACATTTCTGGACATATGCAAATATTTGAGTAGCTCTATGGTTCACTACAAGAAAGCAATTTTATTTTTGACAGGATGAGAGAAGTGGTCTTTTAATGCAGAAATAGTAAACCAGCTCAGCCATACTACTGATGAAGAAATTGAGGACAATGCGTGAGTCCACTAATTATTACCCTGCGGGTCAGAGATAAAGTCTACAATAAAATTTGACTTCCTTCAGCTCGTTTTCTCCACCACTTTATGACGCTCCCCCATATGCAAATAATTATTAATATAATGTCATCTATGCTAATGTACAGAAAGGTAGTTCTCTACATTAATTCGTATTTGAAGGAAGAGGACTTTAGACCACTTGAATCATTTAGCTTTGTGATCTGATTTTTTCAGGAAAGTTGAACATTACATGGGTATGGGGACAAAGTATTAATTTAAAATTTAATTGTAAGTGAAATTTAATGCCATGTGTGCTATGTATTGGTCCTGTGCCTTAGAAACTTACATGGGCACATCCACAATAAATTTGAATAATCTTATTTTAAAAAAAATTTGTTGTCTTTTAATTTTTTTTTTTTTTATGATTTCCTGTTCTTTTAATTTGCAAGTGAGTATGAACACTCTTGGTTAAATAGTTCTTTGGCAGGAAGATATGCAGCACCTTTCAAAAAAACCAAATTATAGCTCTGATGATAACGGCAGTGAATTATTGCAATAAATGAAGGGAAGCCTAATAGTACCTAAGGACTGCAATCTTTACAGATGTGGCAGGGATGATATAAATTGCCAAAAGCCAACTGTGTTTGCTTATGTGAATAGAACAACCACTCTTCAAAGATTAGGACCAGTGAGAGGAGCAATTTGTCATGAGTAATCACCTGTTTTCTCAAAAGAGAAATACAGTACCTCCCCAACGACTGTTTCCCATTTGTCTGGATGATCTGGAAGAGGTGCAGCATTGCTTTTTCCAGAGGCATTTGGCTCCTGCAATGCATTTATATTTGTTTCAAATGAAATCAGAGATACTTTCTCATCACTTCCTTGCCATGGGTGTGATGCATGGGAAGGGATATATAACCATAAAGTCAGACCACCCTTGGGGATTTTCAGAGCACCAATGCTGACCAATCTGAATTATTGATCTTTATTCATGAAAAAAGTTCCCTAAGGGAAAGGATATAGCTTTATAGCAGTCTGAACTGTAATAGATGTTGATCTGGTGTTGATAAATAATGTGGAGTGGAGGGAAGCAATTCACAGAAAAGCCGCTGTAAGTTCTATAGTTAGGCTTCATCCTTTATTAGGTAGTGAGTAAAAGACAACTGATGATTACAACTCCAATTTAAGAGACCATTTAAACAAAAATGGTTCCATAGCGAAGTGAGGCAGAAGGGATTTAGATATTTCTGAGTTTTCTCATATGGCTGATGGGGAAAATATGGCTGATTTGTTTGTTCCCAGCAAATCATTAAAGTTAGTAACACCTTGTGATCCAGGACTCTTTGCATCCCACAGGCCCTGACTTCTAGTGGACTGGCGAATTCACTTGGGTGAAAATGGGGAAGAACAGCAAAAGCACATAGTAGTGAGATTGCATCAATTAACATGAAGTTCTCCAACAGAAAGAGGTTTTATCAGGTGTGAAGGTTGTTGGATAAGGATTCAGGCTAACTTATAGTGAAAGATCAAAATATTTGACAAAGCAGGAAAAAGGCAACTAAAGTTCAAATCCGTTAGAAGCTAGTCACACGGGATATAGACAGAGCCCCAAACTCAGGAGCAACTTTCCATCTGGCTGAACCAGTAGAGTCTGTGAGTGAAAAAAAAGGAAACACTTGCTAAGACCAGAGAGTAGAGGTGTTGGTAAATGTGAAATTATCAGGCACTCTCAAAAAACAAATTTTAATACTAACCAACATGTTTAACCAGAGATGTGTGGTTTGAAATTCTTTTTACCAAAGACTAATGAAATACTTTTGTTTTTCTTATCTGCCTGCCCGCTTCCTTTTTTTTCCTTCCTTCCTTCCTCCCTCCCTCCCTCCCTCCCTCCCTCCCTTCCTTCCTCCCTTCCTTCCTTCCTTCCTTCCTTCCTTCCTTCCTTCCTTCCTTCTTCTTATTTTGTTGTTTGTTTAACAAAAGTTATATAAAACCAACTGCTTTAAAGATATGTTTATATGACAAATGTCTATATAGCTAGATGGTGGAGAAGAACTCCAAAGACCATGTTCAATGTTGAGCACCAAGCACGCTATGGGTGTTTCTTAAATATAAAATGACAAATGCTAAATACCTATCTCTCAAATGGTTTCATCTTGAATCTTTTTACCTCTCAAAAAGGTTACTACAGTTTAGATAAGAGCAGTTTCAGGAAGGCCATACCCAGCCCTTCCCTATAGATTTAAATAGTCTTTACAAAACCTTTTCAAAAATATTTTTTTCTCTAAACCTAAATCATGTAGGGTTGATTTGTACATGTTTTGTCATTGCTCTACGTTTGAGTGTCCTTGTTCTTATTAATGCAACAGACTGGCTGCATCGAATCCCATCATAGTGATAGGTATACGTTAGCTTTCTATGGGAAAAAGCAAATAGCCTTTATCACAAATTAAAGGCACAGCTATTTTTATGCCATTTGTTACCAACTTAATGATAACATGTAACATGGGATGGTTATATAATTATTTTATATAGATTTTCTTTTTATAAGTTATTCTCTTAATCTTTCTAACATATATACAATATACATTTATTTATATATACCCCTGATAAATCTTGTTTTAAAGGTAAAACATCAACTCCTTTCAGCCTTCTGGTGAATATCAAGGCTGCCAGTATTTCATAACTCCACTAGAGAAATGATGGTTAAGTGCATCTTACCAGAATTTTTTCAACACTCTATCCTTGGTCTGCAATCACCTCAGGTTCATTTTTCTTGTTTTACTAACATTTAAATATATATTAATTGTTTATATCATGTCAGTAGGAAATCTAAAAAACAAGAAAAAGCCCACAACAATAGCTAACATCTATCATCATGTTCAAAGCAGGAACCTTTGCCTAAGAGACAACCTTACTGGTAGGATATAAAGGGGATATTGCAGAGATGCAATATTCTCTAGGTTTTTTTGTTTGTTTTTTTGGGTATGTACTAACATGAAAAATCTTTACTTTGCATTATCATCTTAGGTGATGATCATTTCTTATCCATGAGACAGAACAGTTGTACTGATTCTTTCTAAAAAACCCATGATGCATGGCTTCACCTCTTTTCAGATACAGTTTCATTACAAAGCCTTCCCTCTTTCCAGCAATACTGCTTCAGGGTGGGGAAATAGTACTTTGTAAGAAATTACTTTTATTATTATCATCTCCCCCACCTCTATGCTGAGCCCTGCACTCTTGTCCTCAATCTCAAGTCATCTACAAGCTGGATAGGAGGGGGAGAATGTGGACCAGGAAGACCTCCACAAAACCCTCTGGCATTTCTGTATTGTTTGACTGCTTACTGGCATGAAATAGTTGTTCATTCTACCTTTTGCAATTCTTTAAAACCTAGTGGCATAGATTGAGACACAGCACTATTGTTTTACAAGACATCTACTGTATCTACTTTTGTTGGGATAAATACCCAGTAATTGCTGTCATAGCAAGAGGACCAGCACGGGTACTACTATTCACAGTGTTGCTTTTGTTGTTGTCTTTTTTTTTTTTTCTTTTGTTTTGTTTTTTGTTTTTTCTTTTTTCATATTATCTTAATCTACAGCGTAAATTATTATATATACACATTGGAACCAGTTAATGCCCTTACAATGTATAGTTGTTTCATAAAGCGGGAAAGACAATGCAGAGGGAAACAGGTGCCCAAAAGCACAGTCACAAAGGCTTCAGAAGTTCTAGATACCACTACAAGTCAATGCTGGAGATCACTTCTAAAACAATCAATGTTCAAGAGGAATGCTTTAATTTGGAGAAAATACCACCCCCTCCCCTCCCACCCCTAGACCTCCGCCTTTTTTTTTTTTTTTTAAATAATCTTTTCAATTCACTATCAAAAGTCCTGGCTCTTCAGATAGACTTTAAACTATAAATAAACACTGCATAGTTCTCTTTTGTTTTTTTGTTTTTTGTTTTTTGAAAAATTATTGCAGTACAAGTACTCCCATTTGGAACTCAGTAAGGAGCAAACAGCACAGGAGTGTGGGCGGTCCGAATAGGTCCAGGAGCTGGCCGCAGGAGTGCTGGCGGGAGCGCGGAGGTCTGGAACAGTGTGGCCGCTGGAGCAGTTCGGAGACTGAAGGGGGAGTTCACGGCCACTGCTGCAGCGGCGGCCGCAGCTGCCAGTGGGTTTGGTAGAATCCGTGGAGCCAATGGCTTTGAAGGTTCTTTTGAAAATACTAATTTTACCTGCAAGGGAGAGAGAAAAAAAAAGGGGGCAGAAGGACAGGAGTTGGGGCATCTACCCTTAGAATCCAAAATGATGGGCAGCTTTTAAAATGTAGCAGAAAACAACTACAAAGATAAAATCACACAATAAAAATAATAGAAGCGTCAATAAAAATAATGGAAAGTGTAGAACATCTTTCCTTTGAAAGAGCTGGAAGATCACTTGAAGATGACCAACTTAGGATGTTGAAAAGTCCTCCAGGAAAATACTCAGCAACCTTATTTTATTTTTCTTCATCAATATACCTCCTAAGGAAAGTATTCATGTTGAGAAAAAAAAAAAAGTATGGAATCTTTACTCTACTCTACACATACACATTAACTGTCAGGGAATAGATACTTTAAAAGAGAGATTTATTAATGCTCTCAACTACTATTAGGCTATCCAAGTGTGTAAACTGGGGAGCACAGCAAGGTGCGAGGTATTAATGAAGAGAAATAAAGATAACAAAATTCCACTTTCAAGGAAGAAACTTACCTCCCCCCCAAATCTGCCATGTTCTGCTTCCTCTTTGTGCAAATGGTGACAACATTCTCTCAACACTGCTCTACAAAACTGGTTCATTCTTTGGCTGGTAGCATTAGTAAGATGGCTGTTCTCACAGAAAGAATGTCTCCCATTTATGGAAACAGTAACATAGTGAGAGCTAGGAAGGAGGTTTTGGATGGTAACATTAACACAATTTGACTTCCCTGTTTATTTAAGAACCATTCACTTGATTGTTGAAAGCTGCATCTATGCTGGTCAGAAATAGCACTCAAAGTTAGGACTAGTGGTGCTGAAACATCAGCTCTGTGCAGAATTCACAGCCTTTCAATGCAGCTAAAATTGCTTCTGTACAAAAGAGTAAAGTGACTTCATTTGCATAAAAATGGGTGATGCTACTAAATTAATTGGGTCAACTCTTACTGAGGGCTCATAAGAGATGATTGCAGTTTTCCTTTAACTATATTTTCATGTGCCAGCAACACACAATAGCACCAATTATTAATAAGACCTATTTTGAAGAAAACAGATTTCAAAATGCACAATTCAGCACATACTATAGATCAGTTGTTCTTAACTTTTCATTGAGGCCTGGGTCTCCCTGATGAAAGCTATGGTCAATTCAACCAGGAAAACAAAAACAAAAGCAAAAAACAAAAAAACAACGAAAAACTCCACATGGTCATAAATATTAGCTTGAGATTATCAGGTTTCACAGATTTCCCCTAAATTCCTAAAAAAAAAATCCAGGTCAGGACACTAATACTAGTGTGTTCACTATTCTAAAAGGTATATTTGGGGTAATTGGAAGAGGGCATCTCCCAGGAAGAATTTCCCCAGGCCTTAGATACTATTCTTGGTGTAATAATTAAATAAAATCAGTCATGCCGTTGGACTGTGCTACTTGAAATTCAAAACTGTTGAGGGTATCAACAACACCAGTGCTTTGTCCCTTGAAGATATTAAAAAGGAGATGTGAGAACTTGCTTTTCACTGCCCTTTCCTAAAATTATCCACTAACATCAAGACCAGATTTCATGTGATTACTTTCCTGACTCAAGAGTTTGGCTTTACTCCCTTCCCCAGGCTCTGTCATTAACCAGAGCCCAACTCCAAAAGATACAGGTATCGGACAGTGGCTAAACGTGGCAAACCACCCAAACAACTCACGAAACTAATAATTCTATTGTTGGAGTAGGGGTTGGACTTTCCAATCAATTGTTTGTCATGACTTAGGTAACTTCCATGTATTTCATTCAGTAATTAACCAAAAAAAAAAAAAAAAAAAAAGTCAAGTTCCGCAGACTATGGAACATTCAAGATCACTGTTGTTTGGGAATCAACGATGACACTCACCCCCAGTGGATGTGCTGCCTTCTGTAGTTTGTTGTAAGGACTGTATTTAGGTTTCGGGGGCTTCCCAGCAGCTCTGTCTTTGTGCCTTCTACTGCTAATGTGCTATTAAAAGCAATTAAAAATGACAGCTTTAAAAAAAAAATCCCCAAACCCCCCTCATAAATATTGTTTTAACCTGAGGAAGGATATTAATTATTTTATACAAGTTGCAGGAAGACGAAAACAAAAGAGCATGCACTTTTGTCCTTGGATTCTGATGACTTGAGGATATATCTTTTTATGCTACTCATTTTAGTTTATTTTTAACAAATAGAAGCCTCTTCTTTTCTCCAGCCTTTCTCTTTATCGCTGCACAAATCTCCTTTTTAAAAATGTACAAAGGAAAGGAACGTCTAAAGGAATTTTATGTGCAAATAAACAAAGATGCCCAGGCAGGCATGAATTTATTTCCATACTAATACTTATCCTCACATTTGTACAGCCAAATGTCAACTCCTAAAATTCTAAAGATAAATAACAAAGGTGCATAAAATGACTACAATATTGCACATATGGATATAAAACACAACACAATATGGGGGTTGGGCCTTAGATTGGCAACGTCTAACTAATCTCTTTGGAAGACTATTCACAGTAAAAGTGAATGCAATAGGATTAGTCATCCCTTTAGCAGGTGGCTGCAGGATTTAGAAATACAGTACAACACCATGTAATAAAGTACATAATATAAAAGAATAGAACAGTATAAAATTAGCTATAACATGTAAATATCTAAACAAGTAAAAATGGAACATTGCAATTTGACCTTTAAAGAAAATCAACACTTTTGAGTGGGAAACCTGGTAGAGAAAAGACCTAATACCCCTTTTCCTCCCACTCTTCAGAAATAAGAATAGCACAAATTCACTTCAGACATTTTCTGAAAGGACTTAGAAAATATTACATTTTACTATTTCCTTGGCAACTAAAATAGGCATAAATAAATAAGGACAGTGAGTAGAAGATTAAGTGGATGGATGAATGAATGGATGGGTGGGAGAAAAAAACAGGAAAGAAAGGGAACATAGGAAGCACACACATTCTGCTCATCAGGATGTCCCCTATCTGTTGTTTTCATTTCTAGAATATGTGCTGTCTACCTGTTTAAGTTGTGTTTCCGAGTTGACGTGCACATCACAGATTTCACAGTGAAACGTTTTGTTTTGCAGACCTGTGTTTCCCTTATTAACTGGTCCTTTGCCTTTCACGCCTGCCCTAGGAAAGGCTTTGATAGTCCCACTTCCATTCCGGGCTTCTAGCATGGTTTTGTGCTTAGTACCTGCCAGGAAGATTTAGAAAAAAAGAAAGAAAGAAAAAAAAATCTTAGCTAGTATATGCCTTTAAGAAATGATACAGTAACAAAATGTGATGTCTAGTTTTAGAGCAGTTCTTCCAGGGATTACCACTGAAATATGCTTAATTTAGAAGACAAGGTGCTCTGACCACTTTACATAACATTACTTAACTACTCATATTTTTACAATGTCCCACATAACAAACCGGCACCATTTAATAGAGCCCCTACACTCCAGAGTCCCGAGATGAAATTAAATGGGTGTGACTTCGTTTCATTTCCTCTTGATGCTAATAAGACATAAATGATAGCAGATGAGGAAGAGTGATTTAGTTGCTAAAGGTATATAGTTGGAGGTGATGTGTAACAAATGTAATCAGTTTAAACATGGTGTGTTTACAGAAGTGGCACTAATTAAAGACCCACTTTCGAAACAGAATACAAACAAGCTTTCTTGGCTGTCTTTTAGGTTCAAAAAGGAACAGCAAGAGTATAAAGATCTTGATGCCTGAAAAAAAAAAAAAAAAAAAAGCCCTATTAGGATAGTAAAGGTCACACTGATTGGTCATGTCATTTCAAATGTAAAAACAAATGACCAAGAAGATGAGTGGTGAAAGGATAAGCAGAGACACTATACACAAATGCTTCTTTTTAATAAACCAGTAACATCTGTGGACTCTCACTCAAAACTAGTGTAACTCCAGTTATTAACACTTGTTTTTTTTTTTTTAACTTTTTTTAACTACTAGAGTTCATGAATGGGAGTTTTCTCTCAAAATTTTGTTCACAATTTTCTTTTTCTTAGCATTGAATAGTTAATTCTTTATTTTTCTCACTTAGCCATATGTTTTGCTAAGAACTTTTCTCTTGTCATCATTTATGTACTTTCTGCCATTCCAGGTACTTAAATCCTTTTTAGTGGTTTCTCTTTCCTACTTGTATTTATTAGATTGTTATCAGCACTGGAAGCATAAAAAATAAGATTCTCAACTTCAGATTCCTGGACTGGCCTCCCAGAATCATTGACTATGAATGAGGAAAACACATTGAGGGGCACACTAGGTCAGTGCCAATCACCATCACTTTAAATAAGAGGTGATGAATACACAGAACAGGTTTACTGGCACGTTTCTCTCTTTCAGAACGATTGCAACTTCACTGAATCCAATATTAAAAAATGTATATTCCTGCAACATAGACTCCCCACTTTGCAAGTCCACCCACCTTGCAATAGACACAAACATTTTTTACTCTGCAGATGGTGTAAGTCAGTGTAGGGCAAAACAATGCTCTAGTGAGCAAGATATATTTATTTATATATATACTTTGTGTCACAGTGTTTGTGTGTGTGTGTGTGCATGCTGCGTGTATGTGTCTAGATGGTTGTCCAACCTTCTTTATCCCAACAGGTGATTTTATCAAAATATTTTTTTCATGCAACTTCTTCAGTCAAACTGAGAAGAATTTCTGGGCTGATTTGGCTTATCAATGCTTAAGAAGTAGTCATTAGGAGAATGACACTTATTCTGACTTTCTGGAGGGACTCTTGATCCACCCTGGTTAATATCTTTTGTTTTTTTTTGTTTTTTTTTTTAAGATTTTATTTATTTATTTGAGAGAGAGAGAATGGGAGACAGAGAGCATGAGAGGGAGGAGGGTCAGAGGGAGAAGCAGACTCCCTGCCGAGCAGGGAGCCCGATGCGGGACTCGATCCAGGGACTCCGGGATCATGACCTGAGCCGAAGGCAGTCGCTTAACCAACTGAGCCACCCAGGCGCCCCTCACCCTGGTTAATATCTTTTGTAACTGAGAGGCTTACTGTTACCCTAGAAGATGCTGAATAGAAGTGGCAGATAATCTTTGGACCTTAATAATAATAAGGCCATGAACACTGACCACAGCTGACTTGCTTAAATGAATTTTTCACTCGAAACGTGAAACAGATGTCTCGATGAAACAAGTTTTACCTAATTCTCTTCCTGAACACAGAAACATGGATTAGACCTGGGCTTCTTGAAGGTAACTCCTGGGTTTTGCTCATACTGTATTCTCAGTGCCTGACACATAGTAGATACAACTCAAGTATTAAATATTAATAAAGAGCAATGAACAGATATTTGTAAAGAGCATTGTGAGCTCAGACTCAGGAATGGTAGCAGTCAGAGATTGCTTCCATTAGCTATGTACATTTCTTTGTGCCTCAGTGTCCCCAGCTGTGAAAAAGGAAATTATCTGCTCTACTGAAGTGTTGCATTAAATGCATTTATTGTTTTAAGGGTTACTTTTGGCACTTCCATATGCTCTCAATAAATTTTAGTCAATTCTCTTTTTCTTAACAGTGCTGGTTTTGTTTAAGCAAAAATTTGGAAATCTCTAAATCCTTTAGAAGTTAGTAAAATCTATCCTTTGATAACTGCCTTTTCTGTATATTAAAACTTAGTGAGGGATAGAATAAGCTCTGTCTAGGGATAGAAAAGCTCGAATGAGCCTAGTGAAAAATATCAAATGTTACCATTTCAAGTTATTGCCAGAAAAATTTACCCAAATTCATAATAAGCATTAACTATAAAACATTTCAATTTTTTTTTTAATTATATAGAGAAAACCATCAAAATCAGCTAAGCAAAGCATTACTTAATAGAATGTTTTGGGGAGATTTCTTTGAAGAAAAAGACAAAACATTTTTTTTGTATTATCTGTGTCTATAACATACAACTAAAAGGAGACTTCCAGATCTTTTGAAAAGAGTATGTCCTCTTAAGTTGTTTTCAATATTCTTAGACTGTTTTGTGAATCATGCTAGTAAGCTTAGAACTACTTCTCTCAAATTCTAAAAAAAAAAAAAAAAAAAAAAAAAAAAAAATGCAAAGCAGGAGTGCTCATATTTAAATCCTGCATTCCAATGTTATGGAATATAAATCCATTAACTGCAACTTTAGTGAAAAATAAAGAGAGAAAGCAAATGAAATAACACAACCAATCCCCAAATAATGTTAGCAGCAACTGTGGTCATACTAATAATCATGCCATAATAATTCATCCTTACAAGGTGCCATATGGCCTCTTAGCTCCATTAGAGAGAGACTGAGAGAGAAAGAGAAAAAGAGACAGCGAAGTCCAAAGAGGACAGTCGACTTGCCCAGATTCACGTAGAATTGTTATTTGCGGATCTGAGGTAAAAATGGTCTGATCACTTCAAGCTTGTTCCATTGTAACATAGAAGAAGAGGTGGTGTTTGATGGAAGCTATAGTCTCAAAATCAGTTTATGATTAAGAATATATTTTTTTAAGATTAAAAGAAAAAACATAAATGCACAAGTTTACATTCAGAGCTATAGGCCTTATTACATGCATAGAAGGTGTTTCTGAAGGGGGAAAAAAAAAGAGAGAGAAATACATAGAATCACAATTTAGATGCAAAGGACACATCTCCCCACCCTACAGCCTGGTTGCTTCTGAACAAAATCAGCCTGCAAACCTGGTTCCCTGAAAAAAGGCCCAATCTTCACAGTGGCTTCCTACCATCTAGCTCTGAAAGAAAGCAGAGAACTCTGCTAGTGATATTGGAGAGGAGGGGGTCAGTGTGGAGGCAGTGATTGTGGTCTGCTGTGGGTGCAGGTAACACAGGATCCATACAGAGAATTAGAAAATAATTAAGTGGACTAAAACAGACAGTCGGCTTTCCACTAGCACCATGAACTGGCAACTCTAACTAATGTCCGTGATAAAGGACTGCTTCCCAGAACACGATTTGTCTATATTCTGTTTGTACTATTGAGATTTTAGCATATATTAAATTAGCCCATTGTCTAACTTATTCTATACTAAACATCATATGCTACATGGAAATTAATTTGTAGACCTCTCCATTATACCGTGGGCCACAGACACACAGGAATTCAGCTACGGGCTCTTGTTTCATTAGCAAGTCCGTAACAGTTTGAAATCATTCAAGCTCACAAAGGCTGCAGTTTGTGCATTCAACCCCTGCGGTACTCTGTATTTTTAATGTAAACAGTAGATCATAAATGAACAATGAGATGATAGCACCATGATTGTAAAGATGAAGCCAAAGAATTTGAGCTAACTCAGTTCTGTCATCCTATCTGACCACTGGACCTTTTTATGTTTAAAACAGTGAAACACAGTGTGAGCCAGTGTCACGGCTTTGTTTGGCAAGTTCCAGTTGCCCACGTTGGTAACTGCCGAGTGATGCACACGGCACTGGCTGCTTCCCTTCCCTGTTCCCTCTTCCCACTTCCTTACCTGTGCCCCTGGCCTCCCCTAAAAGCCATTTGCTCTCAAATCCTGGTCTCAGAGTCTGCTTCTAATGGAACCCAAACTAAAACACACCATACTAATCCTATGATGAATCCTACAGCAGATATTCTTTTTGTGACAGGCAAGTGAGCCTACAGAGATCCTCTCTCCTTTACACCCCCCTCCCCCGGGTTTCCCCACATGGGATCCTAAGGGAATGATGCAGGAACCAGTGCACAAGGGGCAGTTGTTTGAATATGGGAACGACTGCATTCGCCATCCACACGTAGAGGACGTTCCAGACACAACACGCCTCCCACTGGGGCTTCAGTTACAAAGAAGAGAGCCGAATCTGCAGATCAAAAATGGTGCACAAAGGGGGTTAAAGAGAATTTACTTGTGTATCTTCACTTCTTCCTTTGCCACCTCCAGTTCTGGCCCAATTGGCTAGTGCAAGTCTCGGGGGAGGCCTAAAATAAGCACCGGGCCTGGACGCTGGAAAAAGATCTCTGATGTAGGAAGGGAAATGCAGGGATAAAGAAACCAAGCTTAGACAGAAGGGGGGTATAGTCCCCTGAGCAGGCTGAAGGTTTGAAGGGGACACCCCTATAAAACAATTCCTGTAAGGTTTCACTGCATTTACCACCTTAAACTCCCAGATAAGATGGTTAGAATAGTTCTCAGCTCTGCCTGCACAGTACTTTTGAGTTTTTTTGTTTGTTTGTTTTTGCTTCTTTTCTTTTCCCAAACACTATAGCTTCTAGGCCTGGATGTATAATAAATCTGAATCCCTGAATATAGGAAATATATACATGACATATATATATATATATATACATATATATATATATGTATATATATATATATGACAATTACTTTCTACACAGATGGCTTTTTAAAAAATAGAGGATAAACACTTTTAAGATATTTTTATTTTTATTTATTACTTGTCTTTCTATTTTCCTTCTATATTTATTTCTTTAATTAAAATATTTAAAATTTATATATATATATAAAGTGACATGGGTGAATATGCTTTTAAAGCTTTGTGGGCATTTCCGACACACAAAGCAGAGATGAGGATTGTAGAATTGGAATATGAAAAATGTTGACCTGATACGACATAATGAAATAACTAATTATTCTTTGCTTCTTAATCAGATGTTTCTGACAAGAATTCAGGAAGGACATCTAAATTCTTGATAAATTAACTCCAGCCTCAAAGGTATGCTTTATTTGTCAAAGCTGATCCCTCCTCAAAATGAATGTGTTTCTCTCTCACTCTGCAGAATGATCAAGAATTCTTGAGAAATAAATGGACTTTCAATGATGTTTTTGCTCTCCAATTATCTGACATTCCTGAATAATGTAATTGCATGAGTAAAACATGAGGCATGTCTGCACAGTATAGATTCTGACTTGGGGCCAGATCTTTTTCTGTATTTCTCAGCCTCTGAACTGATGAACTCCCAGACGGTGACAACTAATGTTGCATGCGGCGGGGGGGGGAAGAAGATATGTGCTGAAGGCATTGCTCTCCATCTGCAACTACTCCCTTAGCACACTGAAGTCAATACTTGAACATTACCATGCAGCACAGTGATTGGCCAGTGACAGCCGACATAAAGCTGCAGTATTAACCCAGGGTATGATTTACAAATGATTCTGTTCCTATTGTAATTGCTGACAGGGTCCTGGCAATGAACTTGGCCTTTTAAAGGAAATCTAGGGCCAAAGGGCTGGTTAAAATCTCAGGCAGGATATATATACAATTATTTGTATCAATATATCGATATAATCTAGATTTTATTGATAGATAATATAGATATAGATATATAGATTTAGACTCTCTTTTTGTATTTACTTATCTAGATAGATAGGTGTAGGTATAGATATATAATATCTATGTAATATCTTTCTATACATACAAATATACAGTAGATGGATAGAATTGCAATATATTGGGGAAGCATTTCATCCTGGCTTATCGGTATGTCCTGTTAAGATATGTCAAGTTTAGTGTTTAAGTTAGAAAGACCTAAGTTTAAATCATGGCTCAGCCACTTAGTTGGTCATGTGCCTTGCCTGAGCCTCAATCGAATAGCAAGAATAGTATCTTTAGGTTGTCACAAAGAGTAAATGAAATATTACATGCAGAGAACATACCTCAGTGGTTGCCCATAATAAGCACTTTCCGTTTAACTGTCCCGGCGATATAGATTTAGCCCAGTTGGCATCATTTTGCCATAAAAACCATAATGGAGAGGTTTTAGCTAAAAGCTCATGGAATTATGGAACCAAATTTTGCAACTATATCATTGAAAAAACTTCAGAAAACTTCATTTAGAAGCCAGTGCGTGGGAGTACATAGCAGTTTCGAAATCAAATAAATGCAAAGCTTATACTTCAGAATTATATTTTACTTTATCTCCTAATGTTTAATAACACCTGTGCACACACACACAGACACACATCCATAAACACAAACACAAGCACATCAAGGCGCAGGAGCCCTGCAAGTCCTCATGTAAATGACACTTTGCATGTCATTTTTATTTTTTAATGGTTAATGACTTCCATGTAATAATTGCCAGTTTTCCGCCACCCCTTTGTCCCCTGCTGCAAAAGATACAATCCATTCAGAGGAAGATAATTGCAGAGCTGTTGAGACAGAAAAGAAATCACTGCATCTCACCACTGTTGTGCGCCTCCAGCTGCGAGGCGGAGTTGACAGCAACCTTGCATAGCGAACAGTAAAGAAGTCGTTTTGCCTTTTCTTCCTCAGTCTCCGTGGAAGGACATGAGCTATTGCCAGTGGCTGTCGTGGGGCTTTTTTCCACTTTGGAGGTGATCTCAGTTGTCATAACACTGCTTTTGCGAATTTCCACAGTTGTCGTTGATATTGCTGGTGTCCCTGCGGTACTGTCTGCATTCCAAATAGCATGGGGAAGAAGGGAAAAACAGTGGTATTATCCTTCCCTATTTAGAAATGTATCACTAATATTGCATCCTGCTGATAATGATAAGAGCAGCCAGCAATTGCTCCTTGTCGACCATGAGTCAATCATCTCATGAAGAAATTCGCATAGATGGCCACATGTAGTTGCCTATATTGATATAAACCATACAGACGATTCTGAAAAATACACCCAAATACACTCACATTTTTTCTGCGGGGCAAATAAACATACCAACAGATTTCTCTTGTTAACATATGGCCTTAGTAAAATAGTCTTTACAATGCATTGTACATTGTATGCATCCATTTCGACACAGATGGCTTTAAAAAATAGAGGATAAACACTTTTAAGATATTTTTATTTTTATTTATTACTTGTCTTTCTATTTTCTTCTACATTTATTTCTTTAATTAAAATATAAGTACTGATCCTTTTCTATAGGCTTGTGCAAAAACAAAAGAAAAAGAAAAGAAAAAAAATGGAACTCTGATGACATACTGGTCTGTTCAGGGATCAACAATTTAGAAAATCACTGTCCTATTTACAAAGAGTCATATATTCAATGCCAGGTACAAAAACTCTGGTCTGGCATATTTATTAAATGCATGCTCTGTACCAGGCTGTGTTCATAGAGTTTGTTACACAGTATTCCAACATCAATGGTCACTCTACAAGAAACTCACAGTCTGGTCACACCATGTTAATGTCACATCATCGTTTTAAAAGTCTGATGACCATGAAAGTGTTGATGTACTGGAACCCTACAACCCTTCTGGCTCCGAAGGCTGATTCTAGATCTGGAGGGGTCAATCTCTAAAGCAAAACTCCTTTATCCTAACTTCACTTGGGTACACACAGCTCCCATTCCGAAGACGACAATTACCAATTACTGTTAGCAATGCTTGCCATATCCAGTAACAAACTGCAAGGGAGCTCTAATGCTCCTATCCTTTCTACTTTTCTACTCCTTACTCTGCCTCCCAGCTGGATGGTTCTTAACCTCCTATTCAAAATATTCCCAGGCTGTCTCTTTAGCCACACCTGCTCTTGGAACTGTTTTTCATTCCAGATGCTGCCATGGTCATTAAAGCCACACTGAAAAGTTCATAATAAATGAATTAGGCAGTGGTTATAAGGGACAGTGGTCTGCCTGCAATGAAGTGTTGTCCTCATAAATGCTTACTTCTTATTAGATTATATTATCAAGAGTTGATTGCAGTTACAGGATGCCCTTTAACTTGGATATCTCCTTTGATCCAGATATAGAGGTGGGAGTTTAGATGAGATTGGCATGGCTTCGTTCCCAAATACAGCATCAGAAACACTAGTCAATAAGAAGAGAAATGGGCTCTTGTTGAGGGCTGTTGTATAAAACAATTCATCTGGATCTTATCTCCTTTGCCTGACACTTCATACATGTTTAATCACTTATTTAACTGCTAAGATCTTCGAGTAAGCCTACTTTAGTGTTTTGAAGAATATCCTTCAACCATGTAAAGAGTCATGCTGCTCATCAGTTTTTCATGACTAGAGAAAAATAAATAAAATTACGCTAATGCCAAGTTTTGCCACCAGAATACATTTATTCCCTCAAACGTTGACAGGTCCATTTCCTGTTTAATTTTTACTTATCTCTTGAAGTGCCAATGTTAAAATATCAGGTAATAGCAAGAAAATATTTCTGAGAACCTAGATACGGCATCAAAAGCAATGACTACTGTAAGATAGTCTAGTAGCTATTCATTGCTCCCAACAAACCAGAAATGATTGAAAGCATGTGCATATGTGTCTATGAATAAATAACAAATGCCCAGTTAATTTGCTAAGTGTTTTATATACATAATTTCATTTAACCTTCACACAAACTTGTACAAATGAGGAAATTCCAGAAATTAAGGACATTTCCCAAAGTCACAGAAATAGAATATGGTGAGTCAGGGCAAAGTGTTTTATAGATTGAAAAAAATCAGGGATTAAAAAAAAAATGTTGTGGATGATACTCTTGGCCATGACTGTGACACATGGTAAGGTCACAAAGTAAGGTGACAAACAGCAGTAGGCAAAAACTACTAAATTGGTCTTACAATCAGCTCCATGGGGAGTGACAACCATAAATTAGGTTTTTTAAACTTTCTGTGGCTACATGCTGGAGCCAGTGTGATACTCTGGCTATTTATTTCATTTAAATCCAAGTAAGGATATCCCTAGTAAAACCCTACTTCTAACAACTTTTCCTCTGGATTGACTATGTTTATCTCATGTCTTGATCTGATAACTGTGCATAGCATAGATCATAGTAATCCTAAACCAACTTCCCTGTTTACAGTGAAATTCATAAGAAAAATATAGAATAAACAAAACCATGGATCTTCTAATCCCTGTGACAGCTACATTAGTATTTTTTCTAACCTCAGAGGATAATTAGATAATTTAGACCAAGGATGCCACAAGATTAGAAAAGCCAGATTCTCTATGCCGAGGGCTTAGTGAAGTACTAACATTTCTTAAGGCAAGTTCTTTGCATGAGATGGGTTTAGGGGAATTAGTATCAAAATGCTTAACTTCTGGCCCTTCTGCTTTGGTGCTTTAGACCTCATAGCTGAGTACAAATCTGTTTTTTTTTTTTTTTTTTTCACAATTTCGCAGTTAATTTGAGAGAAATACAAACAGTTATATTTTTCACTTTAAATTTAATAATAAATCTTGTATCCATAGGTAGGATTACTATTAATTTATAACAGTGGATTTTTCAGTTACTCTTCATTTATCAGTGGTGAGGGAACTTTTTCATGGAAAAAGTAAGGTAAGTATGCTTTAAGATTATGCCGTGTTTGAAGAGAATCAACTATGTTATACATTGCCTAGAAAATTACATCTAGCCAAGAGATTTTCCTTAATATGGTACATTAAGTTAGCAATTATACATAATTCTTATCCAACCATAAAAATAGAATCTTCAATGGGTGTTCACATTAATAGCATATATCTTTGATAAGATGTGAGATGAATTACCTCTATATTTCCTCCCCCAAACTCACAACCCCTGTCTGACCATGGGAAAAGCATTCAACAAACCTAAATTTAAAGACATTTTATGAAATTCCTGACCAATAGTCCCCAAAGCTGTTAAGGTCATCAAAACTAGGAACGTCTGAGAAACTCAAATCTAGATGAGTCTAAGGGGACATGATGTGATGATTATATATAATGTGGTAGCCAGGTTAGGATTCTGGAGCAAAAAAAAAAGGGACATTAGGTAAAAACTTAGGAAATCGGAATAAAACATGGACTTTAGTTAATAACAATGTATCACCATTGGTTCATTAGTTTTGACAAATGCACTATGACCCTGTAAGATGTTAACAGTAAGGGTAAACTGGATGCAGGGTATACAGGTGCCCTCCGTAATATTCTTGCACCTTTTCTGTAAATCTAAAACTATTCTAAAATGAAAAGTTCATTAAATTCAAGAAAAACAGAACTATAACCAGTCAACAAATAGTGCATCATGACAGTTACCTGGTAGAATCATGATCAAAAGAGATCTTAGCGGTTTCATGGTATAGCTCTCTTAGTTTTCAGATTAAAAATTTTCAGTAGATTTCTCAAGGTCACATAGTGCTCTAGGGTAGAAACTGGGACTTGAAAGTGCATCTCCTAATTCTAAATTAAGTGCTTATTATCCTGTGTTGCAATGACTCATGTATTCAAACTTGATTCCATCAACATTTATTAAGCAGCTATTTTGTGCAAGATTCTATATATACTAAACCACTGAGGGTGAGAAGGCTGATAAATATCCATCATGGTTTATGAAGACATCTCATGATGACTTGAAATGATAATAATAAAGTTAAATCTTTAATCAGTTTTATGCATTGCTATATTCTTGCACTTACACTTGGCATGAGAAAGATACTCAAATATTTATTAAAAGAAAACAGTAAGTGAATGAATAACAATTACAACTAATGATTATTGAATCACTTTTAAAGCATTTAAAAAGTGTGAATTCATTCAATTCTCATAGAAAACTAAGAGGGGCATACCGTTTTTATCCCCATCTTGAGAAGAAATTGAGGTATGGAGAGATTTGGGAACTTGCCCAAAGCCAGAGTTGCCACGTGGAGCACAAGAATTTGAACTTAGTCAGTCTGGCTCAGAAGCATATGCTCTTCATTTATTTTTTATTGCTAAAATTTTGATTTTTTTTTCATAAAAGAACTGACTACATTCTCTTCAGCTAATTCATTTTTTTCCTCTTCAGCTAATTCAAATTGGTCATGATTTATTACGCATGTTTGAAGATAGCACCTTAAAAATTTGACTTTAAAAGAAACTAAACATAGCCTGAGCTAGCGTCAATCATGTTTGTCCAATCATCCATTTATGCTGAAGTATTAAGTTACTGGAATCCTTTTGGGAGGAGGGAGAAAAGAAAAATCAACAGCTCTCAACCTCTTGTGCAAAATGGTAAAAGTAAGCTACATGTCTTACTTTTCTTTTCGTTTCTTTTCTTCTTTTTTTTTTCTTTCTTTCTTTCTTCTTTCTTTCTTCTTTTTTCTTTCTTTCTTTCTTTCTTTCTTTCTTTCTTTCTTTCTTTCTTTCTTTCTTTCCTTCTTTCTCTCTCCCTTCCTCCTTCTTTCTTTCTCTCTTTCTTCCCTCCCTCCCTCCCTCTCCTTTCTTTTTCCTTTCCTTTCCCTTTCCTTTCCTTTCCTTTCCTTTCCTTTCCTTTCCTTTCCTTTCCTTTCCTTTCTTTCCCTTTCTCCCTTCCTTCTTTCCTTCCTTCTTTCCCAAAAGATGGGAAACTGGAATAATGATTCACTTTTCCTAATGTTCCCCAAAGGTGGACTCAGATTTCTTTGCACTCTTCAACCAATGACCCTCTAAGAACAATATATATCACAGGGAGTCAAAAATAATGGGGGCTATTCAGTGGGAAGAAAAAGGTTTGAGATGGTTTGGT